TGTCAAGTATTTGGTCTGAGGACGGATTTGAACTCAGGTCCTCCTGACTTCAGGGCCAGTGCCCTAACCACTGTGCCACCTAGCTGCGCCAATTATGTCTTTCTTTAAGTTTGCTATAGGGGACTACCTTTCACACAACTCTCACCTGTGGCTCCAAGAAACTGTTGCACATAGAACAGCCATACCCCAGTAAAACCGTCTTCAAAGATGGGCTAAACCAGGTTGAGGGTAACTGACAGGCCTCAAAGCCATCAGCGACTTAGGGGTATGTCTACCCAAACATGTGAAGACTTCCCCTGGTGGAATGGGCAGATGAGAACAATTTGTTCCAATTGCCACGAAGACTGCTGAAGCAGGCGCTGTGGAGTGCTTAGAGCTTGGTCTGACATCAAGGACTCCAAGGTCATCTGCGCATCCCAGGCCATCACCAGTCATCCTGACTGTTGTCCTGCCACTGGACCTCGATGACTCTGGGAGAGAGAGTGAGGCTGATGACTTTGTGCAACCCTGCCTCACTTAAATCCAATTCGTGTGCAAGTCAAGACATCAGCCCACGATGTCATTGGTCCTCTTTGAAAACAAAGGGCCAACAACAACAACAACAACCATGCCTGGGCCCCTTCAAGCATTCTCTTGACATTGTGAGGATACCTATAGAGTTGTCTCTGGGTTATATTTCGCATGGTCAGCCTCTCTTTTCTTTCACTCACATACCTTCTATAGTGACATCTTTCTTCTTAGTACTTCCTCATTTGTAATGCACTGCAGCCTGCTCATGCCCACTGTGTGCCCACTCCATTGTCCTTGTGTGATCCTCAACATTGACTCTTTGGTGACAGTGATGTTCCATGACTCACAGCCATACTGCATTGCCAGAAGAATACTAAATAATTTAAAAGATGGGCCTTTGTTTCAGGGAGAAGTTTGGGGTCATTAAAAGAATTCTCAGCTTCCCAAGGGCAATACAATCTAGTCACCCTTTGGGTTCAGTTTTGGGCCAAACTCATCACTGGTTTGTAGAGTCTGACCAAGATATACATACTGGTAAATAAGCCCCATGGGTCATCTGTCTACCTGCATATTCATACTCTGGGCAATAGACATTCTTTATCGCCTCGGATTTTATGATGCAAGTAGTAGCACAATAACCAGCTGTAAGCTGTTAAGCTCCCCCAGAGCATGGACTAGGTTGTCTATATGTCCCTTCCCCCCTGCCCACTGTAAACAGCACTGAACAAAGAATAATATAGAATAATATGTATTTTCCATGTGGGAGGCAACATGCTTGGAGTCAGAGGGAGCATTGGATGATGTACTTCATGGGTTCTTTTAGTCTGGGGTCTGTCAACTTGTTTTTTAAAAAAATAAGTTTTGATATCTGTATATAATATAATTGGTTTCCCTTGCAATCTTATGTATTTTATTATATATATATATATATATATATATTAATATATAAATATTATCCTGCAAGAGGGCAAAAGGGTCCATAGACAACAAGATTGCCAAAAGGGCATATGCTACTAAAAAAGGTCAAGAAGCTCCTATTTAGAGGGAGACTGATAATGAGGCATGATGGATCCTGACTCTGTCACATAACAATCTGTGTGATCTTGGTCAAGTCACCTAACCCCTCTGGGCTTCAGTTTCCTCATCTGTAAAATGAAAGAGTTGGACCTGATGACTGCCAAATTTATGAATTTCAGTTCCTCTGAACTCATAATTATAATCCTCTTGGGGTTTCAATTTCTTCCTCTGTAAAATGAAGCATTTTTACGAGATGGATTCTAAGGTCCCTTCTAACTCTAAATCTATGATCCCATGAACAATGGGGAAATACTCTTATAGGATTCAAAAATGTTTTTTGCTCAGATTCAATTCAACAAGCATTTATTAAGCACCTACTGAATGGCAAGCACTGTGTTAGGTGCTGGGGGTACATAAAAAAATGAGATCACTCCTGACCTTAAGGAGCTTCTGTTTCATTGGGTTGGAGTCCAAGGACTTGGTTATGAATACCAACTCAACTAGTGACCTTGGTCACATCTACACCTCTTTGGGTCTCAGTTTCCTCGTCTGTAAAATGAGGGATTACTACTAGATGGCCTCTGAAAGTCCCTTCCAGCCCTAAACCTAGGATTCTAAGTCACTTTTGCTGGGCAGGTAGGTGGCACAATGCATTGATTGCCACGCCTGGAGTCAGGAAGACCTGAGTTCAAATCCAGCCTTAGATACTTACTAGCTGTGTGACCCTGGGCAAGTCACTTAACCCTATTTGCCTTGGTTTTCTCATCTATAAAATGAGGAGAAGGAAAAGGCAAACTGCTCCAGTATCTTTGCCAAGAAAACCCCAAAGGGGGTCATGAAGAGTTGGACCTGATGGAACAACAAAGTCACTTTCTCTCTCTGGGTCTCAGTTTTGTTTTGTTTTGTTTTAAATCTGTAAATGAAGTTGGATTAGGTGGCCTCTTAAGGCCCCTTCCCAACTCCAGTCTTCTCACACTGAATGGAAGAATAATGAGATCCATGCTATCTTCTACCCTCCAAAACAACACAGTGCTTCAAGTGCCATATAAATGTTAGCCATTGTGACAGCTGACGTCGTCCCCTTTCTGCTGTTGGCTCCCAGCTTCTCTGTGCTCTGAGATTACATATCTTCCTCTTCTTTCTGCCCTTGTCTCTGTTTCCTCTGTGGACCCACTATGCCACCGATAGGGCATGGACTGCAGGCAGAGATGGAAAGGACTCTAATTCCATTCTCTTGCACAGACGGGAATGAAAAATAGGAAAGCCCTTCAGTATCATCATTGGCTAACCTGGTATCATATCTTTATCAGTGCACTTCCCCACTTTTAATTAAAATCCTAGGAGCAATCTTGCAATCATTTTAAAGTGTGAGTCATGCATAGCTCTTCCAGGCTGCACTGGGGGGAAGGGCTGTGCCTCTTTCCAGAGATGGCAGAGACTAAACCATTGGTACACTGATTCTTCGGCTGTCCTGAGCCAGGCTAGGAAGCTTCCCAGGGCCTAACGCAGAAGTGACTAGATTTTAGAAATGCCTGTGTAGACCACAGAGGGCAAAACTGAGGAACCAGATGCAAAAGGAGTGGGGATGGAGATGGGGGTGGGGGGTTGTTCCAGGTACTCACCCTTAGTATGAGACATACTTGGATTATAAAATTCAGCTTAGGAAAAGAAGATGAAGCCAGAGAAGAAGTGGGCATGGCCATAGATGAGTCTAATCAAAAAAATTGTAAAGCACGCAGGACACTAGCCCTAAGATGTCCCTGGGATAGGGAAATGTGAGGACTGTGATTTGAAGAACAAATATGGCTCTCAATGAAGAAAGAGAGGGGGAGAGAGAGAAAGAGAAAAAGGAAGGGGTAAGGACCAATGAAGGACTAAAGGGAAATTGAAGGAGATGTGTCAGAGAGAAGGCAACTCAGTATGATGCAAAGAATAATGCTATCGGAGTTATAAGACACGGTTCCTCATCATTTGTTTCTCCCATATTTCTCTAGCAAACCTGGGCAAACCCAGTCTACTTCTACATTTCTCATTTTCCTTATCTACAAAAAGAAGAGTTGGATTCAGTGACCCCTGAATTCCCTCGCAGCTCTAAAATTGCATGATCCTAAAAAGACAGGAAGTTAAAATCCACAATTTCTCTGTTAAACCAGACATGTATCTACTTTATATAGGAATGACTCCCGGCCATAAATGTTTTTTATTTCTCAGTCCATGTAAATATTCACTCCCACAAAACTCATTTCAGCAAGCAGAGCCAGAATGGCCATATGGGGACTACATTTTTCTCCTTCCCAGGGAGGGGGTGGGTAAGGAGTACTTAACTTCTCCCCTCCCTGGACATCTCTAGAAGCAGCTCCAAGCAACTTGAATGACCATTTTCAGCTAGCCCCAGAGGAACAGTTGGGGTTGGGGAAGGGGGAAGGGGAGGGGAGGAAGGTAGTAGGGATCTCTTAAGCTCCGTAATACTACTGGCATAGGTGGAAGTCCACTGCCTGGATGCTAGGAGAAAGAGGGCACAGAACTGTGAAATTCACCCTGACCTTGGAGATGGAGTCCTGTTTGGAAGATCAGAGAAGCTATGTGTTCTTGTTTGCTGGCAAACTTCCATGAGGCAAGAAATCTGCAAAACTGTAGCACAAGAGAGAAATCCAGAGCCCTTTGTCTGGCATTGTGTTAGAACTGGATGCAAGGATGATAAATGCCTTGGAGAAAACAATGGAGCCCTGGGGCCCCTCCTCTAATGCAACCAGACAAAGCTGTGGGAAGAGATTTCACTAGCCAGACGGTTAAAGAGGCTGCCACAAGAGGTGGCAATGGGGAGCAACGAATGACCCACCGCATTTGCTGTAGATCTGCTGACAAAGCGATGCTATATGGAAGGAGGGAATGAAGGAGCAGTGATATGGAGAACATCTGCCTCAGTCTGCTGGAAGCTATAGAGGGAACTTCAAGGCAGAGTGATGAGCTATCTGTAGAACGGCCAATAGAACAGTGAAGGAGAACACTGGTGATAAGTGAGCCTCAGTAGGAGACTCAGACTGAGAACTGAAGGCAATTAGATTACTAGAGGAAGACCTGAGCCTGACTCAAGGTAATACTGAGAGTAACTGAGAAGAAGGTTACTCATGGTGAAGTGTCATTCTTTGTGGCTTGAGTGTGAGCTATATTTCTTTCCTTTGACTTGTAAATAAAGCTATTCATTCTCTGAGTGCTTGGGGCCATATGCTTGCTAGGAGAGTTGGTGACAAAATATATTTGGTGTTGTCAGATAATGCAGTTATACTGATTGTCTGAGCCTGGGCAATGAATGAGATGAGAAAGGAGAAATTCTCCAAAGCTTATCCATTCCCTTAGTGGCACTGGAGAGTCTCTGACATGCAGATCCTTGAAAATATATAACCTCTCGAATCTTGTGAATTTTGTCTAGGTGTTAAATCACATGAAATGTAAAATTATCTCCCATCTCTCAGGTGTACAGATGAAGGGTACCTGTCTCTCTGGCATCTGGAATCCACAAGGGAATGCTGTGAAATCCAAGGTATGACTATTAACATAATATGAAGAACAAGGGAAAGATAGGATAACCCCAGATAAAAAAGTGTACATGACTCAAATTTTTAAATGATTCCAAAATTGCCCCTGAGAACCTAATTTAAATTGAGGAAAAACATAGAGGCAGACACAATGTCAAGTTAATACAGCATTAGCTCAAAAGTGTATGGTATTGTGCCAACAGAAGAATAGACAGAGAGAAAGCTAAGCTATTTGGCTCTTAATTGGCTTGTCTCTTGTCTATTACAGGCAATGAACCTTGGACTGAACTAACTAGTAAAAACACTAAGAAGGATTTAAGCCTAAGAAAAATTGGAAGATAGATTTCACCTAATGACAGCCAAGCGTCTAGCTGTTGTATAATTATACAATTACATAATTGTATTAATTATGCAATTACAGGACATTAGAGCTAGAAGGGAACTTAGAGATCACTTAATCCAACACCCTTATTTTACAGATGAGGAATTTAAGGCTCAGAGAGACTAAGTGACCCACAGAAGGTCATATAAGGAGTAGGTTTTGACATAAGTCCTTTGAGTCCAAATCCAGTACTCTTTCCACCGTGTCATTCCTGCTCCTATTAAATGGGTAATTTAAGGGCAAATGAAGTGGGGATCACTTGGAGCCAGCATGGATTCACTTTAAACAAGTCATGACAGTTGTTTCCTTTTTTGACAGCATTGGACTGGTAGATCCAGGTATCTTTGGCCTTCCACGGTACCCTTGTGGACAAGAAATATGGGCTAGATGGCAATGCAACAAGCTGCATTTTAATTAGTTGAATGAGTAGGATGATGATGCAGAAGGCATGCTAGGTTTAGAGTCAGAAGACATGAGAGCAATTCCTGGACTGCTCTTTACAACCAGTGTGACCTCCTTGTTGCTTCAGGACTTTGCTTCAGGAAACTTTCTGGAACTTACTGCCCAAGTCCAAGACTTCAGCTGGGCCTCAGTTAAGTGAAGGGAGCTCCTTATGCTGACAAAAGCATTGCTCCTTTCCATTTTTGAGTTGCAGAGAGGTCTTTAGTCTTATGCTTCTGTCCTCAGGCCTGTTTCAGTCAACATTTTCACTAGTGACTTGAATTAAAATGTAGATGGCGTGCTTATCAAATTTTCATATGTCACCAAGCTGGGAAGGATAGCTAATATATTTGTTGATAAAATCAGAATCCAGGAAGATTTCAATAGGATGAAAGGATGGGTTAAATTTAATATTTGAAGGCCTGTCAAGTGTAAGAGGGATCAGACTCATTCTCTGTGGCTCCAGAGGGTCCAGTGAGGACCAATGGATGGCAGTTACTGGAAGGCAGATTTCAACTCAACTTTCCTAATTCAGTTCAACAAACACATTTATTGAGCTCTTAAGCATGGTGCTAGGTGGTCTAAGAGATCAAAGATTAATGACATATTTGTCATAGTCTAGGGCCCACACCTAATCAAAATGTAAAAGTAAATAAAATAAGTGCTTAAGAGAGCAAAGAAAGGGCAATAAGAGTTCTGAGAAAAGAGATAACACTTCAACTTGGGGGAATCCAGGAAGGCTTAATAAAGTATGTCAGCCCACAAGTAGTTATTAAGTGCCTACTATGTGTTATTCATTGTGTCTTAACACTTTGTGCTGGGAATCCAAAGAAAAGCAAAAAACGGTCCCTACTCTCAAGGACCACATGGCCTAGTGAGAGAGACAGTGTGTAAACAACCATGTACAAAAAAGCTAGATACAGGACAAATTGGAAATAATCAACAGAGGGAAAGTGCTGGTGTTAAGGGGACCAGGAAAGGCTTCTTTGTAGAAGGTAGGATTTTAGCTAGGACATGGAGGAAGCCAGGGAGGGCAGGAGATGGAGATGAGGAGGAACAGAATACCAGGCATGGGGGACAGCCAGTGAAAATGCTCAGAATTGGGAGATGACGTTAGACGTCTAGGAGGCCAGTGTCACTGGATTGCAGAATATATGGGAGGTGTAAGGAATAAGAAGACTGAAAAAAAAGAGGAAAAACCAGGTTATAATGCATGTCAAGCAAAGTATTTTGTATTTGATCTAGGAAGTAGTAGGGAGCCATTGGTGCTGACTGAGGGTCAGATCTGCTTTTTAGGAAGATGACTTTGACAGCTAAATGGAGAATGGAATGGAGTGAAGAGAGACTTGAGGCAGGAAGACTAACCATCAGGCTACTGAAATAGCCCAGATTAAGCCCAAAGTGATGAAGCCCCAGCCTACAGTAGTGGTGGTGGCAGAGGCGAGAAGTGGGCACATACAAGAAATGTTGTGAAGGTAGAATTGACAGGACTTGGCAACAGATTAGATATGGACAACGAGAATGAAGAGTTGAGGATAACACCTAGATTGTGAGCCTGGATGACCAGGAGGATGGTAGTACTCTCAACAGTCATAGGAAAACCAGGAGGAGGAGAAGGCCTGGAGGAAGAAGATTTAGTTTTCAAGTTTGAGATGTCCAATAGGAAGTTGGAGATTCAAGACTAGTGGCCAGGAAAGAGATTAGGATTAGATAAATAGATCTGGGAATCATTAACAGAGATGATAATACATGCATTCATTTATGTATTATCTATGGTTGCTTTCATCCTGCAACGGCAGAGCTGAGTAGTTGCAAAAGAGACCATACGTGGTACTGCTCAGTGCATTACAAATCACAGTGATGCAATTATAACTCAGCAGCATTTAGAGTGCTACACCTATTCCTGAACTTCAACGTTTTATTTTCACTGCCAATGCGTACCCACTGTATCAGTTACAAGTTGTGTCAAGCTGCTTTGTATGCGTCTCGTGCTGTCAAAAGTTACAAGAAGTAAGACTTCCATTCCCATACAAATTTGCAGTGCATATATGTTCCAAGTTCAAACTACAGTTCCAGCAGTTTTTTCTGCTCTCAATACAAGTGCAAAAGAAATGTCCACATTCCAAAATCCAGTTAACTGCAATTAAAGAGCTTCCACCTAACCTTCAGTGCGAAGTGACTAATCTGCAATGTAATGACATGCTAAAAGGAAAATATCAAGAGAAGAATTATAGAATTATGGAAATACACAAATGCCTTCCAAATTATATATATATTCAGTTAAAATCACCTGCTTATGGACTGATATCAGTATCTGGTAGTACCCATCCATGTAACAAGACAATTTCAAAGATGAAATACATAAAATCTTATTCCATATCAGCATTAACAGATGAACAATTTTAATCAATTTTGCTAATAGGAAACACTAACTTTGGATCCCAATTAAGTAAAATGTTATTCCAAAATAAAAGAAAAATTATATATAAAATTATACTTTTATTATTAGGATTGTTGTTGTTATATTTTGAATTTCATCAATAAGAATTTGTGGAAATTTGTTTTTTCTCTTGTTATAAGTACCTATATAATAGCTTTAATTTTGCTTCTTGGCCTGCAAAGTCCAAAATATTTACTGTCTGGCTGACCCCTGCAATAGAGATTTCCAGCTGCTGAAAAGAATGCATGCAATGAATTTTTGTACCTCCTATATTTCTCTGCCATGGTTAACATTAGGGCTCTGATGATTTGAGCTCTTCCCTTCCCCAAGTCTTTTGTTCAAGTTAAAATTCCCTGATTTCTTCAATGTATCTTTGTATGATGCGGTTTTTAAGCCCCCGCCCGAAATACTGCTTACCCCCTGCTAAATACTCTAGCTTGTCAGCGTTCTCAAATGGAGCACAACATCCTAGGTGTGGTCTGACCAGGACAAAATCCTGCAGGACCATTGCCTCCCTCATTCTGGGTATTATATTTCCATTATTGAAGTCTGAGAGCACGTTAGCTTTTTTGGCAGTCCACATCACACTGCTGACTCATAACCAGAGCCAGCAAGTCCATTAAAACTTTCCAGACGTGAGAAGCTCCAGAAACTATCACCTTGGGAGATAGCGGCACAGTACACACCTGAAGGACTTTTCACATACAAAACTGTTTTATGTTTGTTCCCCTTCCTGCTTCACACTGGTGCTATAGCCACAACTACTCGAGGAGATTCTAGAGACCCCTAGGGAGTCTTACCTATTTTAGAGCACTCCACCCCTCTCTCTTGTTTCCCCAACTACCGCTATTACTGGTAGGTGAGTCCCCGAAAAGCGGCTCATTACTTCTCCCCCTCAGGGTTCTAGGGGTAATCCTGAGAGATTAGACATGGTTTTCTAGTACTAGGTTATGAGCCCACATCTAATGTGCTCTCCATTGACTATCAGCAGCTATATAATTAACTTCGAGAAAAGGGTTTTTAATAATGTGAACAGTCGGTACAAAAACCTTACCTTAAAGGTCTAGGACACATTCTCTCCAAAATGTGCGCAGAGTCCAGGGGAACCTAAGCTTAGTGGCAAAGGGGGAACTCCCAGCTCCTGATTAGATAGATGTCCTTTTTTCCCTCCTGATTTCTCAAGTCATTTTCCCACCATGCAGTCATCACCTTTATCTCCCCTCTCCACTGCAACCTTATACTCAGCTGTAAGAGGTAGATTTCTTTTTTCTTTCTGTCTTATCTCATCTTTAACCATGCCTACAGACCACTTCTAGGCCATGTCTACACCATATCATACCTACCCCCTCCCAATTCCAGCACTTCTATATACATTATAAAAAACAATTGAACAACAACAAATTAGAATGTAAGCTCTTTGAGGGAATGGAATGTTTTGCTTTCTTGTATTTTTACCTCCGCTGCTTAGCACAGTCCCTGGAACTTAATGTCTCTCTCTCTCTCTCTCTCTCTCTCTCTCTCTCTCTCTCTCTCTCTCTCTCTCTCTCTCTCTCTCTCTCTCCCCCTCTCTCTTTATGGAGTCCTCATGAAGTTTCCCTATGGTGCACAGAAGTTTCTCTGTGCTCTCTTTCTCTGATAGGCTTCAACAGTCGGTGCCTTTATAGAATTGAAAGTTGCACTTCTCTCAACCCTGAAGAGGTCACATTCCCTAAAGCTGGTTTTCTTTGATGTGTCTGGTTTGTCCTTGGGTTCACCGCTTTCCTGGGAGCTACTAGCTCTGATGGGACGTCCAAATCTTGCCCTCTGGCAGAGGCTGCTTTCTCAAAGGTCTTCTAAAATTTGACTAAATTCCAACCTGAATTCTTTCAACCAACCCCAATAAAATTCCTTTTTGACTTTCTTATTTTATTCAATAACTCAAAAACACTCCAGTCTCAAACTGATTAAGGATCTGCTTAAATTTAATTTACCCCTTTGATTTTTTTAGTATGAAATGCATCAGAAAGATGTTCCCACTTGATAACACTATCAGGGTACAAATAAGGCTGTTAGTTATATAGTATAAATTAGGGTAAGGGTTTGGGAAAAACCCTCTTATATCATAAATAACCTAATATTTATTTTTAAAATGCAGCTTTTATTTTCAGTTTAGAATTCTCTCCTTCCTACCTTCTCTTCCTTCCCCACCCATTGAGAAGGCAAGAAAAACAAAACCAATTACAAACACAAATAACCAAGCAGAACAAATTCCTGCACTAGCCATGTTTAAAAAAAAAAATCTGCACTCTGACTCCACCAGCTCTCTATCTGGAGGTAATACTATCTGAATGTAATCCAAATCTCAAATCCCATTGGTACAGGACTTTATCCTCATTGGTAGAGCTCAATACGCTGTGCCTGCATGAGGGGTGGGGTAGAGTCAGCAACAGTTGGGGAGATCTGGTCTTTTCAGTCTCTTTGGGCTCTTGAATCACTTCAGCTGTATTTGGTTCCAGATTTGAGAGAGAAGATTCTCAATGCCACTCCCTCTTCAGGTTACTAAAGGGAGAAAAAGACTCTAGAAAGAAGCTGACATAAGAGTTGATGACAATCTCCATCATGTCCCTGTCCCCAGGTTACTATGCTAGAGACTTCCGGGCATTTCCCCTAGGGTAAGATCTGGGATTCTCTTTCTTGGTTGAGCTGTTACCTTGCTCCTGATGGGAGAGCTCCTTCACTCTACTGTCTGCTATGTAGTCTCATATATATATATGTATGTGTGTGTGTATGTACATATATACACATATACACACATATATACATATATACATATATATACATATATATACATATATATACATATATATACATATATATACATATATACATATATATACATATATATATATATATATATATATATATATATATATATATATATATATATATATATATATATATACTTTCTCTGATTTCTGTTTTGCTATCAACTTGGATAAATGTGTTTCTTTGCTGTTTACTATGTGTGTTCATTGTGGAACTGCTATTCGGTGAGAAGGAAGTTATTAAACCTTGTATATAAAGTTTAGGCTCCTCCTTTCCCCTTTTAGAAGCAGTGATCAGGAGTTTAGCAATCTAAAGATCATATACCCTGAATTCATAAAATTTAAGGAAACAGGTATAGTTCTAGTTTGGTACTCCCTCTCTTTGAGGAAAGCAGAGTTGTGGCCAGCTTCTGGCCTCAAATTTCTGCTTCCCCTCTTTGCGGGAATTAAAGTCTCCCTTGGAAAAGGGTGGAGGGAGAAGATGTTAGAGATGTCTTGACTGAGACCCACACATAACACATTCCATGCAACACTAACGTTTATTAAGAGACAGCTAGATGGTATAGTCAATAAGACACAGGACCTGAAGTCAGATAAAAATTCAGCTTCATTAATCTCTGTTTGCCTCAGTTTTCCCATCTGTAAAATGGAGATCATAATAGCACTTGCCTCTCAGATTTGTTGTGAAGATCAAATGCAATATTTGTAGGACTCTTTGCAAACCTTAAATTGCTATATAAATTCTAGTCATCATCATCATCATCATTATTATTGTTATTTACTATGTGCCAGAGAGACAGTATGGTATAAGACCTCAAGTCAAGCCCTGTTTCTTAGCTAGAGTGGCTGTATTACTGAATAAGTCACTTAAACCTATCTGTACCTCAAGAGCAACTCTCTAAGACTGTTGTTCCTCCTTCATTTTTGAAGAGGACCAATTCAGTACAGCTGCTGATCTGCATTGGCCGATGGAGTTTCCTCTCTGGGAGCTCTTTACATAAATGAAATCACAGGTTTAGGCCAGAGGGAAAAGTACCAGGCCCTATGGCGTGTGCTTGGGATTTGTTGTTGTTCAGCTGTTTTCAGTGCTGTCCAACTCTTCATGACCCCTTGTGGGGTTTTCCTGGCAAAGATGCTGGAGTGATTTTCCATTTCCTTCTCCAATTCATTTTTTAGATGAGGAAACTGAGTCAAACAGGATTAAGTGACTTGTCCAGGGTCACACAGCTAGTATCTGAGGCAGTATTTGAACTTGTGCCCTCCTGACTCCAGGGCTGGTACTCTACCTACTGCGCCACCTAGCTGCTCAGGTGCTTAGGATACGAAGACAAAAATGAAACAACCCCTGCCCCCAAGAAGCTTAGTTTGTCATTTGAATTTAGGATCATAGACCTAGGGCTGGAAGGAAATTTGGGAGTCACTTAATCCAACACTCACTTTACAGATAGGGAAACTGAGGCCCAGGGAGGGGAGATGACTTGCCCAAGTCTTAAATGGTAGGGCCAGAATTAAAAGTCCTACAACTCCAAACTAAATGTTTCTTCCATTGCACTATACTGCTCCACAACTGACATCTTAACAATTTAGAAATGCAATCTGCGGTTCTATTCCTGCCACTAATGCATACAAGCTGTGTGACCCAAGGACAAGGCACTTAACCTTTCAATGCCCATAGACAACTCTCTAAAACTATAAATTTCAGATGAGTTGTCAATCTGCATTGGTGAGGAAGTCTGCACACTAGGAGTTCCCCAAACCCTTGAAATCACAGGTCTCTCTGGACCAAAATGAAACATAGTAAGCTCCTTGAGAGCAGGGTCTGGGTTGGACCTGAATTTGTATCCCCAGCTCTTGGGACAATGCTCTGCACAAAGTAAGCACTCAATAAATATTTATCAAAAGAACAAATTCCCCCTGAACTCAGAGGCAAGGAGCAGCATGTCAAGGAGATAACAGAGGACTTTGTTCTTTTAATTGTGCAGTCTGGCCCTGTAAATGCAAACACCTGTCTGTCCTGAGAGAGTTTCATCATCTCCAGAGCTGTCTGCAACTCTGCCCTTCTCCAAGCAGGTCAGAGGGACCTGACCCAGGTCCCCCAACTCACCCGCAAGGCTGGCAAAGAGCTGATTTGATCCATGGTCAGGGTGGCCTCCTTGTAGTATTTGCCCCTGGGACACAGCTTGCAGAAGGTGTCATGAATGCTGAAGAAAAGAAATGGAAGGGGAGTTACCGAAGGCCCTGCCTCACCAGCAGCACTGTAAGTTCAACATCTCGGATCTTAAGCCAAGTCCCAGAAAATCTCTATCTCTTCATCACTCAGCTTCAAGATCAGCCTATGTTCCACTGAGGAGCAGAAGGATTTCTCTCATGTTCCCAGGCCCTTAGAAGTTTATTTCTGTCCAAACAACATCAGCAAATTCAACAAATATTTAATAAATGCCTGCTTATGTGTAAGGCCCTGAGCCTAGCTTTTGAGAGAGAGAGAGAGAGAGAGAGAGAGAGAGAGAGAGAGAGAGAGAGAAATGAACCAGATCCTGCCCTCAAGGAGCTTACATTCCACTGTGGGGGCCAGGGCAAAGAGAGTGGAAAAAAGAGAGAGATATGTAGCATGTACATAGATAAATATAGTATAAGAAAAGCTGAGGCAGGAGGCAACATTAATGTCTTAGGGAATCAGGGAAGACTTCATAGAAGATGGGGCACCTCTTTTGAGTCCTGAAGGAAGAGAAGGATTGTAAGAGGTGGCAATGAGGAAAGAGGGCACTCCAGGCACAGGGAAGAGCCTGTGCAAACGCACAAGGAAGATGATGGGGAGTTGGGTTTGGGGAGCAGGCCATCTGGCTGGAATGCAGAGTTCAAGAAAGAGATGAATATGAAGTCAGGCTGGAAAAATAGGTAGGAGGTTTGGTCGGGGCCTTAAGTTTGAGACTAAGGAATATGATTTTTATCTTGTAGGCGATGAAACATCAGTAAAGGCTGTTGAATGGAAAAATTACATTCAATGTAATTTAGGGACTCCTTGGGAAAGATTTATACCCAACAAACTAAGATCAGTTAATTGATCAGCAGGTTGTTTTCCAAATGTCTCCTGTATGTTCATCATTGTGCTAGGAAGAGGGAAGAATTCTGAGAAGGAAAGCTTTGTAAATAACACTTCCTTTTTGTTATCCAATCGGTTTACAGTTGTGTCCAACTCTTCATGACCCCATCTGAGGTTTACTTGGCAAAGATACTGGAGTGGTTTGCCATTCCTTCTCCAGCTCATTTTACAGATAAGGAAACTGAGGCAAACAGGGATAAGTGACTTGCCCAGGGTCACACAGCTAGTGTCTAAAGCCAGATTTGAAATCAGGTCATCCTGACTCCAGGCCCTGTGCTCTATTCACTGTGTCACCCAACTTCCCTTACATTTGTTCAATTTACAAAGTGCTTTCAAATCTCACTTGACATCTTCACACTCATCCTGTGAGGTAGACAGGGATTATTATCCCCATTTTACAGATGAGGAAACTGAGACTCATCACAGCTATAACGAATCATAATGTTTCAATAATAATAATGTATGTTAATAATATAATAAATTATATTTTAATAATGTTGCCATACCAAATACTTATAATCTCTAAACTACGTAGAATGAAAAGCTTCCAAAATAGAGAGACCTAGAGGAAGAAGATTCACCACCTACCACATGCTTAGAAAAACACAAATTAGTAACTACGATGATACATCAAGAGCTCACTGTTTTTCATAAACTAATGGATGACTAATCAAGGAAGCAACCAACCAGCATTTATTCCCCATGCTACAAAATACATACCTCAAAATGTCTTTGAAAATTCAACAAATAACCTGCATAGGAAATGAACCATTAGCATAGAAATGTTGCCCACAATCATCTAAAAAATAACACAGATTGATACAAATTAATAAAAAGAACAATGTTTCCAATGTATATCCCAATCTGTTAGAATCGTACCAAATGGTCACAATTTCCAAACTACATAAAATGAAAAGTCTTCCAAATAGAGTAACTAAGCAAAAGAAATCAAAACTACCCAGGAACAGAATTACATCCATGTCATCCCTGACACCCTGTCTGCTACTAGAATTGTTCTACATATGCCTTCAGTGAATCGAGAGTGTCATGGAAGCAATGAACATGAGCTTGAACAGACTTCAGGAGATAATGGCAGATAGAAGGACCTGGTGTTGCTATGGTCCAGGAAGTCACAAAAAGTCCAACACAACTGAATGACTGAGCAACAACAGCAACAGTACATAGAGAAGCCATGCTCACTACACTGGACCAAAGGCTTTGCCATAATTAACAAAGACCATATAAATGTGACAGTGCATTGAGGCTTCCTCAGTGTGCCAAATTGTGACGCTGCTTTTTGAAACTGGAAATTTTTTTTTTGACACAACCTTCTTGCTCCTCAGTCAATATAGTGCTTTCTTCTAAGTATTTATAGATTTTTTTTAGTGACATGAGTTGGGAATGCTTTATATAAAGTATATGAACAAATAATTGGCTCAGAGCAAGACAGATCACCGGCATCTTTTAGTTGTAAATATGTCAGGTCTTCTATTAAGAAAAGTTGAGTCAGTCTTCTTTCTTTTTTTTTTAATTTTTAAAAAAAATTTTTCAGTCTTATTTCTGAGAAGCTGATAAAATATTTTACTAGTAATTTGTGTGGTACTATGAAGCAAATAGTTATTGAACCAATAATTATAGGTCTTATCTGCTCCTCCTTTCCAGTTTCAAAGAGAAGCAGAGTTTCTGTCAACTCCTTTGGCATAACTGTTTTGTCATTTATTATATTAATGATATGTTAAGATCTGTTTCACATTTGATCCAACTTGCACTTTTTGTTGTGTTGGACATCTTCTGACCATGCAGACCAGTGGTTTCCAAAGTGAAGGAGAATGATTTTAGTTCAGGGGTGTTATGAATTGATTGGTGTATGATCAACCAATCAGAGGCTGGAAAGACAGCGCCTCACTCTCACTAAACATTGCTGATCACTGATAGTCTGCCAGACTTTACATATAAAGGAATAATAGCAGAAAAGAAGTTTGCCCCCAGACTTTTCCTATCTGAATGCCATTGAAGAAGATGAGAAGAATGAGACACATGACAAGAAATGATAACAATTTAAATAGAATTTATCTAGCTCATAACATGATTTTCCTCAGAAAAATTCTGTGACATAGCATTCTCATTTTGAAGACAAATAAATTCCTTGAAATTAAGGGACATACATTTTCTACTTCATCACATATTTCTCTCCCACACTTCAATCCATATATCTATCTTCCTGGAACTGGGAGGCAGCTAGTTAATGAGGTAGTTAGAATGCTGGTCCTGGAGTCAGGAAGACCTGAATTCAAATCCAGCCTCAAGCATTTACTAGCTTTGTGACCTTGGGTGCTGTCTGCCTCAATTTCCTCAGTTGTAAAATAGCATAATAATAGCACTTACTTCCCAGGGTTGTTGTAAAGATCAAATGAAATCATATTTGTGACATGCTTAGCACAATGTCTGGCACACAGTAGGTATTAATAATGTTTCTTCTCTGCTGCTGCCACCCCATAGGACCTCTCCAAACTGGCTAGCTTACTGGCATCTCTCCTGAACCAACCTAAAACCAATTTATCTTCTTGCAGGGTCTATAGCAGGACAGTGGCCTAGGCATTAAGAAACCTGGATTTGGATCCCAGCTTTACTTAGTAGCTCTGGGTTCTTGTGCAAGTCAATTAAGAGAAGGGATATAAAATGTCAACAACTTTTTCAGTAAGCTTCCTCTCCTCCTAGCTTGCAGCCAGGTTCACGGGTATCAGGCCTCTTAAAACCAACTTGAAGTCCCCTCCAGGACTGAAGCAGCCGTACAATCAGGGAGACAGCAGAGTTGAACTAGAAGAGCAAGAAGACAGCCCTGTCGCCAATAGGCCCACTGAGGCCATGGGTTTCTTTGCCTCTCTGAGGCTAAAATCAGGGAAGCACCGAATCTTTAGCCTGAAATTCCCAAAGTCTACTTTGTTCTGTGACTTCAGAATAGTGGCATTAAAAGGAGAGAGCAGGAGAGCCATATTTGTCACCTCCTTGGGCAGACCAAATTGCTAGTTCCAGAGTTTCTGGGGTTCCTGGGTTGCTTCTTTGCACATCTGCATTTGTGTTCCCCTGTTTGTCCCTGGAGATGTCTTGTGCACTGACCTATTCTGAAAGCTGCCTGAGGTCTTGGGCACAGAGAACACAACAACTGTCATAGCCTTAGCAGGGATCCTTGGTTCTTAGGGATCATTAGTTTAAATCTGCAAGTACGGAAAAGAATTGGAAAGTGAGAGAATGTCCATCAATTGGCTAAACATGTTGTGGTATAAGTTTGTGATGGAATACTATTATGCTATAGGAAATGATGAGAAATGACGTTTGCTTGTTTGTTTTTGTTTGTTTGTTAGTTTTTTCAGAAAAACCAGGAAAAAACTTATATGAACTGGTGCAAAGTGAAGTAAGCAGAACCAGGAGACCATTGTACATAGTAGCAGCAATATTGTAACGATGATCAGTTGTGAAAGACTTAGCTACTCTAATGAATATAATGATCCAAGGCAATTCCAAAGGACTCATTGTGAAAAATGCTATTCACCTCCAAAGAGAGAACTGATAACTCTGAGTGCAGGTTTTCTTGTTTTTGTTTTTCTTTTTGGCAGCATGGCTGATATAGAAACAGGTTTTGCATGACTTCACATGTATAATATATATCATATTTCTTGCCTTCTCAATGGGGGAGGGAGAAAATTTGGAACTCATAAAAAAGTTTTTAAATGAATGTTAAAAAGAGACAAATGATGAAGGGAAGAAAAATACATCTTCTAATACATCTAAAAATGCAACTTCTTAGTAGCTCACCTAACCCAACCTACTCATTTTACAGATGATGAAAACTGAAACTAGAGGGGTTATGTGACTTGTCTAAAGTCATGCAGCTAAGTAAATATCAAAGTCCAAATAAGGACACAGGTCCTTTCATTCCAAATCAAGGGCCCTTTCTGCAGCACTATGTTCCCTTTTCGACAAGGCCTCCTGAGCCCTACCATGTCATGGGACCCTGACACAAACAATGTGATTCCCAAATGGCTGAGAATAATGTTTGAGGATTAATAGTGAAATGCCTCTTGGATACAATGCATGCTTCTCTCCCTGCCATAAGACATCTTTCTGTGTGTCCAAATATGGATCAATGGATTCTAAATGAAGGTCTGTAGTCATTGCTAATGGACTCCAAAATCCCAACGATTTAAAAGCTCAGCCAGCCAGGCTGATTATCAATCAAGCAGCCACAGACGGCAGCTTTCCTCCACATCTTGCTCTCAGACGGGGAAACAGGCCATAACCAAGAGTCCCTAAGCTTCTCCTAGCAGCCTTCCTACCCACCATCCCCTCTGGTATGCTCAAGCCCTAAAGGTGTCATTAGCTTCCAGCTTTTAGCCCAGGACCAGCTAGCTCCCTGCAACAAAGAGCCCTTTCACCACCACGTAGGTATTCTTAGATCTTTTTTTCCTCTGGTAATAATTATAATTACAGAAGCATACATAGTGAAATGGATAAAGAGGCTATTACTAGAGTTGGGAAGACCTGAGTTCAAATCCTGACTGACTGACTGGCACATACCATGGGCAGTTCATTGGAATACCTTTACGAACAGGGACAGGACATTTCCCTGAAAAATTTTTTATTAAACATCTACTAAGTGAGGGGCAGCATGCTAGGTGCTAGATACTGTGATATAGTGTTAGCTGCAGGAGAAAACATCATATAGCCAAAGTGCTTTACAAACCTTAATGTTAGCTATTAGTTACCACAACAGAACAGAGTTGGGGTGGGGGTGGGGGATGTGATTTGTACACAGTGTGTGTACCACAAGGAAAAGAGAAATGGAAACAAAGAAAAGATGCAAAGTACCCTAGAAAAATTTGCAGAGGGAAAGAAAACTTTCAGCTGAGGGAATCAGGGAAGCCTCCATAGAATAGGAAATAACCTAATCTGAGCTTTGAAGGAAGAAAAGGATTCTAAAAAGCAGAAAGGCTGCTCCTGGACAAATGCATAGAGATACAAGGAAAAAGCATTTTCTGGGCTGGGGAAACAGAATCAGCATTCACAAAAATGTAAACTCCCTGAGGGCAAGGACTCTGACATTTTCTTGTATTCCTAGCTTTAGCATAGCACCTGGTACATAGTGTGTTTAAGAGGTACTTATTCAGTGGACAGAGCACTGGCCCTCAGGAGAACCTGAGGTCAAATCCAGCCTCAGACACTTGACATTTACTAGCTGTGTGACCCTGGGCAAGTCACTTAACCCCATTGCCTAGCCAAAAAAAAAAGGTACTTGTGTTGAATTAAATTCATTTGAACTGAATCCAGGAAGGCTGAGGGACCTGGGTGTCTCTCTGACCATAGTATCATAGATTTAAAGCTGGAAGGGGCCTTGGAGACTACCTAATCCAACCCACTCATTTTACAAATGAGGAAACTCTAGCTCAGAGAGGCCAAACGACATCCAGGCTCTCACAGCTAGTAAGTAGCAGGGGTGGGTTTTGAACCCAGATCTTCCTGATTCCAAGTCTAGCACTCTCTACACTACCACACTCCAAGGCCGTACTTTAGATGGTAATGGTAGTGATGAAGAGGAGCCTGGTGGCCCAGGTCCCAAGACTCCAGGGTGCTTAGATATCCTCTAGGCTCCCTACTCAGAGATGTCTTTTCCAAAGCACACGGACAGGAGCCCTATAAATCCATAGAAGTTGGCCAATCAGGACAATGTTAATCAGGAAAGCCCAAGATGCTTTAGTTTAGAGGGCAGCAGATACCTAGAGGCAGCTATCAGGGAGACTTCAGTGTCTATTCCCAGGAGCTTTGCTGAATTGACTCCTCTGACCACAGGCGATAGAACTACTGATATATATTATCTCATGGTATGATGGAAAGAATACAGGGACAGGAAGTTAGGAGACCTGGATCTGAGCCCAGCTTTGACACTAACTTGCTCTGTGACTTTAGACAAGTCACGCATCTTATCTGGCCCTCAGTTTTCTCCACTGGGAGATGGTTGGACAAGGTTACTTCCAAGATCCCTTTTATCTCTGATTATTCAACCATTTTTCAGTTGTGTCCAACTCTCTGTGACCCCATTTGGGGTTTTCTTGGCAAAGATACTGGAGTGGTTTGCCATTTCCTTCTACCCCTCATTTTACAAATGAGGAAACGGAGGCAAACAGTAACTTTCCCAGAGTCACAGAGCTAGTAAGTGTCCGAGGCCAGATTTAACTTAGGTCTTCCTGACTCCAGACCTAGTGCTCTATGAAATATCACAAAGCAAAATTAAATATTATTTCATCATTCTTTCTCATCTGCCTAGCTGCTTATTAACCCAACCTGATGTCACCATGGATATTATTTTAGCACCTCTTAACCCAGACCAGCAACCTAGAGATTGTGTAGACCAGAGGTGTCAAACACACTGCCAGGCAGCAAGGACACTAGAACTAGATTAAAAAGTAATTGGAAAATATTTAACAAAACAAATAAAAATTCAATAGAACATAGATGATGTTAATAAGCAGTTTTCTAAGTCAATATGTACCTAGCATGGATGGTTTAGTGGTTCTCTTTCTGTCTGAATTTGATACCCCTGACGTAGACCTTGGTGAAAGCATGAGCCAGATGGGCCAGACATGACAATAGGCAGTTTGGTTCAGCTCAGGGAAACTGAGTAGCAGTTAGCATATGGGGCGGTCTGAGCTAATTACAGAATTAAGACTACAACTGATCAGACAGTGCATTGGAGGAGGAAGACATGTATCAGATCCAGGAAGGTAGCTGAGGATCAAGGTGGACCTTGGGAATCTAGAACCAGGTGAGTAGCCAGGTGAGTAGGCCAGGGCACAAGCAGGTGACAGAGTAAAGTGTCTAGCAATGGGCAAACCACATAGATGGTCAAAGGCGGGAAGGCCGCAGGAAACAGGTTGGCAGGTGGAACAAGAGGCTCAGCACCCAAGCAAGAAAGCTGAGAGGGTGCTAGTTGGGAGACTAGACAGACTTTTCTGTATTTCATGTTCTCCAGAAGCTCATTCTACAAGAGGAAATCAGCCTTCTCAGATTATTTCCATCCAGGATGCAGGTCTTCATCATGTCCCCTTGCCAGGTTACTACCCCCTCCCCTACCACTTTTCAGCTTCTTCTTATGTGTCATCTTTCCCCCATTAGATTGTGAGCTCCTTGAGGACAAGGACTATCTTTTGCCTTTCTTTGTATCCCTAGCACTTAGCACAGTGCCTGGCACATAGTCAGTGCTTAATTAAATGTTTACTGACTCTTTGACTCTGCCCTTGGTCAACAACATTAGTAGAGAGAAGGTATGAATAGGGACAGTTGACCCAAGTCATGCCAACCAGGCCTAAGGGCTGTGAGCATCCTCCCAAACTGAGCATCTGTTCTGAGAATAGATGGGGAATCCACTTACCATAAGATCTCATTCCTGGTCAGAAAGGTCAGCGCCTGCAATCAACCATAGAGCCATCAACCTCAGAGTCATGGGATCCCAGGAATCATGGAGGGAAGGACCAGGTTCCCATTTTTACAAAATGGAGAACAGAAAGATCAGTTGGGCCCAAGGAAGTAGAGTTGCAATCATCAGCTTCTTTTCTCACATAATCATTTTGGAATCATTCCTCTTGGAAATGGGACAGGCTCCTTTTTAAAGACAGTACTGAGGACTGAACTATGACATGGGACAGAACTGAGGACTGGATGCAAGGATCAGGCCAAGCCTGTGAGAGTCTTAAGCATCAGGTGAAGAGGATGGGGAAGAGGAGGGGCAGGACTGAAGGGACTGATCAATTCTAGATGGGTGGTTCTAAAACTTTTTGGTCCTAGGACCCTTTATACTCTTAAAAATTATTGAGGGTGCTCCTAAGAGCTTTTGTTTATGTAAGATATATCTAATGATATTTACTGTATTAGAAATTAAAACACCTTAGTATTATTATAAAAATACTTTTGTCTTTGCAGGTCCCCTGAAAGGGTCTTAGATATACCTGGAGGTCCCCAGACCATATTTTGAAAATCATTCATCTAAAACCATGATGGAGCATCAGAAGCATGGGCAAGGCTTATCTTTCCTTCACTAGCATTTCTTTAGAACTTTGGGCATATGGACTGGAGGTGGTCCAAGGGACAGCATTACCAGCCCTACCCACCTGATATTCTTCCAATTCCTCCCAGCTCATGGGGTGCCTTACACACTGACCCATGCTATCTCTTGTGGCTTTGCTCTCCACCCAAAGTCAGTACTGTAGCACCCCACACACTAGTGGGAACCTTCTCTCTCCAATGTATGGTCACTGATTGGCCTGGTTACCATGGTGACACTCCATTCTACTTCCTGCCTATTCTATCTAGGATGAAGAACAAAGGGGCCAAGAGTGAAGAGAACCAGATTTTTTTGGTGCCCAAGTTTATCAGGCCCTTGCACACAGCAGCATTGATACTGGTGGGCCTTCCCTAAATTCTGAATGAAACCAGCTGCTTAAAGCTTAGGGCCACAGACTCCTGAGGTTAAAAGGGCTTTCTAGGGGTCACCTAGTACATCCCCTACCTCCAGGATGAGCTGAACCCAACCCATTTCATGCAAATGGATATTATCAATATGCTTATAGTTCTATAAGGAATTATATTCCATGCCCTTCCTTGATAAGCCATCTCAATATCTCCATATTATTTTTCCTGGGATATACCTTTCATGAGATACAATTTAAACCCATTTTGTGTACTGTTGTCCTGTTTGCATTCTGGGAAATGTCCCAGAGTAGCATGTCCATTCATTTCTCGAGCTCCTAAAAGGTACAGAGCATACCATGAGGCACTGAAAGACTTACACTTTCTTTTTTCCTCATAATTGAAAATGAAAGTCCATGGGTTTTGCAAACTATGTTACCTTCTCATATGGCTGCCAGTGTGTATATGGAAATATTAACATTTGGTACAAATCTAAATGGGCTGATAATTTCTGCAGATCTGGACCTTTATTACTCTAGATACCCTGACACCACGGCTCAAAGCCCACATAGATGGACCAGCTGGAATGAATAAGATAAATAAGACTCTATCCCTGTCCTCAAGGAATGTAAAGCATAGTGGGAAAGATAGAGATATGTAGCATTTAGCAGAAATTAGAATTTAATTCGATAAACATTAAATGTCTACTAGATACTGGCAGTAGAGGTAATCTGGGGTAGATAATAAAATGATGGGCTAGGAGTGAAAAAGAACTGATTTAAAATCCCACTTGTATCAGCACTTCTTAAACCAGAGCCCTCACAGTTTAAGAAGCACTGAAGGGATCCTGAGTGGAAAAAGTTTAAGAAGCCCTGCTCTATACCACCTCAAATCTATCAGAGTGGCTAATGTGACAAAAAAAAAAAAAGAAAACATTGGATGTTGGAGGGAATGTGGGAAAACTAGGACACTAAAGCACTCTTAGGAGTTGTGAACTGATCCAACATTCTGGAGAGCAATTTGAAACTATGCCCAAAGGGTTGTAAAACTGTGCATGCTCTTTGATCCAACAATACCACTGCTAGGTCTATATACCAAAGGCATCCACAAAAAGGGAAAAGGACCTATTTGTACAAAAATATTTATAGCAGCTCTTTCTGTGGTGGCTAAGAATTGGACATTGTGGGGACGCCCATCAATTGGGGAATGACTGAACAAGCTGTGGTATATGATTGCAATAGAATATTATTGTGCTATAAGAAATGATGAGCAGGATGGTTTCAGAAAAACTTGGAAAGATTTATGTGAACTGATGCATAGTGAAGTGAACACTAAGAGGACGTTGTACCCAGTAATAGCAATGTTGTTCTATGAAGAACTATGAATGACTTCGCTATTCTCAGCCATACAATGGTCCAAGACAATCCCAAAGTACTAATGACGAAGCACATACCATCTGCCTCCAGAGAAGGAACTGATATTGATGGAAGACATACCGAAGCATGATATTTTTCACTTTCTTTCATTTTTTTTCTTTTATTCGAGTCTTCTTGTACAAAAATGACTAACATGGAAATGTTTTATATAATTGCTATTGTATAACCTATATCTAATTGCTTATCCTTTCAAGGAGAGGGAAGGGAAAAAGGGAGGTAGGGAGAGCTAGAATTCTGAACTCAAAACTTTAAATAAAAATGTTAAAACATTGCTAAAAAAAATAAAATCTCACCTCTATATTTACTATCTGTGGCAAGTTGTTTTATCTTTATGTGCCTCAAGCAACTCACTTGGACTGACATACTAAGTTAGAGACAGATTGCAATGTGTTTGTATAGGGAGTTCCCATGCCAGAAGTTCCCTAAACTGACAACTGCATATATATACAAGGCATTGTGCTCAATTCTAGGGATATGCCAAAGAAGATAAAATGTAATTGTAATCTCCCTCTAGAAGCTGACATTCTACTGAGGGGTATATGACATGGGCACAGATAAATATGATAACTATATAAATAATAAATATACTAATATGTAATATATGACTAATAAATACTCAAATAACTATACTAATAACTATAATGCCCAGTAATTTGAAGAGGAAGAAAGCCCTTGAAACTGGAGGCTGGGGAGATGGGCAGATGAGATGAGCTTTAAAAGAAGAGGGTTCTCAACAGTAAAGATGAGGAAGGAATGCATTTTACTCGTGGGATGCAGATCATGTGAGTGGATGGAGACAGAAGAAGGAACAAGTTTTCCCTTCATTTTCTCAGTAAAGTGAGCAAGGAGGTCCTCTGCTGAGAAAGGGGGAGGAGGGATGCTAAGAATTTGAAGAGAAGAGAAGCTCCATGGAGAAGCAGGACACCTGTGTTCTTGTCACTGAACTGTCAAACTCACCTCATCCTATCTATGAGCTAAGAGTTAGCATGACAGTGAATACAGCTCCTTAGTGTCAGGAAAGCAGGGGTTCAAGTCTTGCTTCTGACACATGCTAGTTGTGTGGCCATAGGTGAGTCACCATCTAGGTGGGCATGAAGGGGGCAGCTAGGCGGTGAAGTGGATAGAGCACCAGGCCTATAGTCGGGAAGACCTGAGTTCAAATCCATCTTCAGACACTTACTAGCTCTGTGACCCTGTGCAAATCACTTACCCCTGTTTGTCCAAATCCTACCCATCTTTCAAGGCTTAGTTCACATGCCCTCCCTTTGGTGCATAGATTCCTACTCCCTCTATTTAGTCCCTAGAGTGGGCACCCCATGGAAAAAGAAACACTTAAAAGTTCCCATAGCTGTGTGACCCTGGGCAAGTCACAGCTGTGTGAGACCATGGGCAAGTCACTTAATCTCAATTGCCTGAAATTAAAAAAAATAAATAAGATCCCGACCAGAATATAACTGTTGTTGACCCATTCTTCTCTGAAACTAGGTTCTCTGGCAGAATTATATCAAAGTTAGAAAATTAATTAGAAAAATAGAGTAACAGAATGTCAGAAATGCAAGGAACCATAGTCTTCTTCTATTACAGTGAGGGAACAGAAGCCCAGAAAGCTGAAGTTCTTCAGTGGGTGACACACAGCAGCAGAGCCAGGATTAAAACACAGGTCTTCTGATAGGCATTCCATTTTATTCACTACACTGCCTCAGGTGGAGGCCTCCCTGGGACCACCCTGGTCTGAAGAGCAAAAGAGTCATGGCTTTCATTTGTCTAGGGTAGAAGCCTGGATTAGAAGGCTCTAGACTTTGCTCGGATTTCTTCCCTCCAGTCTTTAGGACACAGTTAAACTTGCTAGAACTTTTTGACCTCAAACCAGGGAGACCCTGAAGAATATGTACCTGAATACCCCACACAGCAGTCACGGGTAATAGCTAGGAGGCAGGGGAAGAGGAATGTGCTAAAGGTAGCTCAAAGTGGTTCTTGAGAGCCAGTGGTTAAATTTTCAGTGTCAGCATGTGCACTTTGAGAATAGGCAAAGGCTACAAATCAGGGCTTGACTTATTGTTTTGTTGATTGTCTGGCTTAAGAAAATGATGGCAAAAACATCAACAATGCAAAGTAATGAAAAACTGGTTAGGGCATGAGGAGCTGGTTGTTAAACATTTACCAGCATGTCACTGCAGTTGAATCTGAGAGGTTATAATCAGACAACCACAGGATTTTGAGCTGGAAAGGCTCTTAGAAACAATTCAGTCCAACTCTCTCATTTTATGGAGAAAGAAACTTAGGCTACTATTGAGAGAGAGGAAGTGACTTGATCAATGTCATACGGGTAGCAGCCGAATCAGGATTTAAACCTAGGTCCTTGGGCATCAAATCCAGTGCCATTTTCACTAAACCACACTGCAGGGCATTCAAGGGTGAAGTCTATGACAGCCTCAGAAAGAGAAGATAAATTTCTAGGGATCACATTTCTAATATATGAATGCAAGACTGCCTGGAGAATTAGCAAAATATGTCGCTTATCTTATTGGTGAAACAGCTAATTCAGGAGGCTATATATGCTAGGGTAAGGTGCAAGAGGGAGCCAGGCCTTCACTAATGATAGGCATTGGTCAGATCAGCAGGTGGATATTTGGAGCCTTGGTTTCAAGATTCTTCCCTCTCCAATCCGTCCTCCAAACAGCTGCCAAAAGAATCTTCTGAAAGCGTATCTGACCATGCTGCTTCCTTGCTCAAGGACCTGCAGTGACTCCCTATTGCCTTGAAGATAAGATATAAACTACTCATCTTGACATTTCAAGCCTTTCCTAGCCTGATGCCAATCCATCTTTGCAGCCTTCTCTCCCTTTCATACGTTCTGCATTCTAGCCAACCCGTTCTAGCCAGCCCATTTGCAATTCCCTGAATTCAACGTTCTACCTCCCATCCTAGTGCCTTTGCAAAGTCTCTGTCCAATGCCTGAAATATCCTTTCTCACTGTGGTTCTTTGCTTCCTTTAAGGTTTAGCCCCTGAGCCACTTCTTACAAGAAGACTTTCTTGATCCCCCCTACTTCTCACAACTCTTACTCTCTCCTCAAATTATCATGTGAATATTTATCTGTTTACCTGTAGCATCTGTTTATCTCTAGTATTTACCTATAGTTTTTGGTGTATATTACCTAGCTATTTTTTGTTTTGTCTCTGTATCCCCAGTGCCTTTCACATAGTAGGTGCTTAATAAATACTTGGTGACTGATTGTTGGATTGGATTGAATTATTGATTATGCAGAAGCACGATTTAGTTTCAGAACTGGGCCCAGGTGTTTTAGGCAATAGGTGTGGGGCTTGGATAGATGTTTGCTCAGGTGAACTGGGGGTCAATGCCAAAGGCAAGGCTAAGACAGGGCAAGATGGAGCAGAGACTCCTCATGAAATTGGGCAAACCAAGGAAGGACAACTCCAAGGTAGAAACTAAGGCTGGTTGACAAGAGAAACTAACAAATTTAGTCATCAACCTAGGTCAAGAGCAGAGTAGCCAAAAGAAAGTATGTCGGGGGGCAGGAACCTAGCTTAAAGCAACAACTGAGAGTTCTTCCAGGAGAGTGGGTTGTGCCCTTTGTAAATAATTCTCTTTATAAAGGGAATATTATAGATAAATATCATTCCCCTTATAGAGCAGTCTCAGGGCTTTCCATGCAGCATCATCCTGGGAGTCTGTCCCTGCGTTAAAGGGGCCTAGTCAACTGAGTGGGGCTGGGCTCCATTAACGCAGTGCCTTGGGAGGCTGTGCTTCCTCCTGGAGTCAGATCCCAAGCTCTGCTGGAGCCAGGATGGCCTTGGGCAGTGCCTCCCAAATTTGTGGGGCCCAAGTTGTTAAATACATCTCCTGGGGATGAAGTGACACCTGGAAAAAAAAAAAGGTGGGCCTGTGTAAAGTAGGCAGACAAGAGAGCTGGGAAATTCTCCTAGAAAATGGAAATGTGAACAACATAAAGGCTGCAGCTTAACCTATAAATATTACTTTTATTGAGCAAGAAAAGAGAGAGAAGGAGACGGAGAGAGCAAAGGAAGTAAGAAGGCAATGGTGAGGGATGAAATGTGTCACAGTGAGGAGACCCATTGTCAGAAGCAACAAGGAGGTGTAAACCCAAGACAGATAGGCCTAATGTAGGAAGCCTGGTCCCATTCCTGTGCTGAAAAGAAGGAATGATGGGAACCTTATCCCTTTCCTTCTCTCTCTCTTTCTTCCTTTTGCTTGCTCCCTCTTGTCCTCCATTCCACAACCACAACCCTGGAAGGTAGGTGGTGTAAACATTATTGCTCTCATTTTACAGATTAGAAAATTGAGGCTCAGAAAAGTTGAGTGACTGGCCAAGGTCACCTGGCTAGGAAGTGTTGGAGCTAGGACTGGAAGCAAGGTTTCTTGATTCCAGGACTAGTTCTCTTTCCTCTGTG